TTACTCAGTTCTCCTTTTTAAAAAAACTGGCGGAAATTCGCCTCGTCAAAAATTATTCAAAAAAAAACCTCATTTCAATAAAAAATCTGTTTAGCTCATGAAGTAAATGTACAGAAAATGAACTTCATGCGGTTTTTCTTTTCAGGATCGTTATAGTCCTCCAGGTTATGAGGAATCTAGTATATGGCCACTCACCGGATTGAATGTGATTGAAGCGTATCGAAATCGAGTTGGCGAGGCAACCCCTTATCACCACGACGATGATTTCCTGTCCATTGAAGTGATGGCTTATCCAATGCCATTCATAACTACCTTCGGTCCAGGCGGCCTTTATATTGGTGAATTTTTGAAATTTTTTTTTTAAAACTAGCATTTATTTAGCAGTACGGGATGTCAGTTAGCACTACTTTGACGCTAAAAGTCGAAACTTCAGCTCCGCCAACGAGGGAAGCAAATTCCCCCGCATTTCGTTCGTATGCTTCAACAGAAAATTGGTATTGGCGCATGCCAAGGAGTCAGAAACGTCGAGTGTCAGAGGTGGAGCTCTTTTTCAAACTGACATGAATAGAGAGGGATCGAGCAACGTGCTTGACCACAGCACTTCAAACTCTTGTGCTCCACGCGCTTGCTGAAGCACCTATATTCCGTTTGTATGCTTTTCGCATACATATTTTGTAATGTCTAATGCTGATGCTGCAAGCAGCATACACTCATCTACATATGACGGTTTTTCACGAGACCTTCGCTATACTATCAGCCAGTTTTTTTAAACATCCCTAGAAAACGGAGCGAATGAGGGCTACGTTAGGCATGTGATTGCTTTTGGTATTTGCTCCACCCTGGCAACTTCAGTACGCCTCACCTATTAGCTCTGAATCAAGTTTCGTTCTTGACAAGAAGCTAACACGAACGGCTTAATTGGCGGAAACAGAAGTTCCAAGCAAAAAGGCTGAGGTATCGATTTAGGCTATGAAACAATCTTTCACCTCGCTTGATGCTCACATCCAAATGCCAATGATTTTTTTTTTTATAGATCAACGGGTGCATTTGGAGGGCTTTTTCAGCTGTAATCTGACTGCTATCTTCAGTACACCTAGTTCCTCGTTCGTCTTCAAACTGGAATATGAAAAAGTAAGTAAAAGCACTGAATTGAAAAATGACGTGTTTTCAATAAATTTTTATGGGAAGTTTTTAAAAAATTGAGCTTTTTTTAGAGGAAAAAGGATAAAAGTTGTAGTAAAAAGGGCAAAGAGGGAATCGAAAGGCGGAGGAAGGTGAACAAAGATGTTTTAAAAAATTTCGGGAAAGTTTAATTCATACAATTATTGCTTTAACAGTATTAACTTGGGACGACTACTAGTTTACCACTGTTCTATATATGAAATGGCTGTCGACTGTGTAACCGATAATTCCACTATCGACTACGGTCTAAGCTTTCCTCATTCAAAATACACCACTCATTCAATTAATTAG